AGGCATGGGTGAAGGTTACACTTGAAATGGAGTGTAAAGCCTTCGTCTTCGATGATTCTCTATAAGGAGTGTGAGGCTCCCGAGGAGCTGACTATAAAAAGATCGAAAGACGACGGGTTCTGCCCGACTGACGAGTCTGTGAAGACGAAACACGTGTATCGGGCTGTACAAGAGCCCTTACCACACCACATGACATGTTGGCTCAAATAATCATGAAAGGATCTATAAAAATTTGAGCGGTGGTCTTAACAAAACACTCGAAATAAAGGTATCAATCGCGTGGTAGTAGCTAAATTAGAAAACGAGCCATTATTAGTGCGCAATTCCGATCGTGAAGGAAAGCTGGTTTCCGAAAACTAGTATTAAGTTGAGGAAAAAAGTTTCTCAATACCCGCGAAAAATTCAAATTTTATGTTTGTTTCGCACAGTATCGGTTATTATAAATTCATAGGAATGCCTCAGGTATATTTCCTAAAGAAACTCCCATGGCAATGCTAGTTACAGGCATCAAGATTCAATTCACTCTTCGGATATCAAATGACGACCATGGACAGAATTAAGCTTCGAGTTTTGATACGTTATAGCTGGAAGCAATTGCATCTCGAAAAGAGATGTTGCGAAGGAGACCTGTAGTGTCAACGGTGAAGGAACTGAGAACCACTTGACTGTTGCAAGGTGGTACAAACGGCGCTGAAAGTGGTGATCTCAGTCTCGAAGACCAATCTCGTTCCGGCCAGCCATGGAAGTTGGACGATGGAGATCTGCAAGCAGCCTTGGATGCGGAACCGTCATCAGGCACTCATGAATTGGCAACAGAACTCAACGTCGATCAAAAGACGGTCGGGAATCATCTCCAACAAGTGATATTGTCTGCAAAGAGCTTTGCCAAGATCCGCACGAATTGACTGAAGCTTAAGCCAACCGCCGCGTTGAAGTTTGCCTTCAATTTTTGCAGCACCCCTTGAACCATCTATTTTGGAAGCGTATTGTGACGTGGATGGGAACCGGCCCTACCTGGTCACGATCACGGTCGGAGCAAACGTTGGGTTTTGAAAAGTCAAGCTCCGCATCAGTTGCACGTCAAAATCCGTTAGGCGAAAAGACTATCTGCGTTGTGGACTTTTAAACGTGTTACGCATCTCGAAGCTTTCCCGAGTAGTTGGGCCATCAATGACGAACTCGGTTGCGAGCAGCTGGACCGAGTCTATGATGTGTTGAAGAAAAAGTATCTGATGCTGACTCGTCGAAAGCGCGGCGCAGTTTTGGCAAGACATTGTCAAACCTCACACCGCAAAGAAGACTAAGGAATAGTTTAAGCCTTCCCAAGACCGACTACCGATTAACCTTGGCATTGAATGAAATATTCCGTAATTTTCTTTGCTTCAGCACACACGAGGTTTTTGATACAAGTTTATTTTGTACAAGGTAGGGCAATAGAGATTGGACCCGTGGCAAACGTTTCGGCAGTTTTGCCTTCTTCAGAGCCTGACCGTTTTGTTGTTATGGTGTCCATTAAATATGTAGACCAGCCGCACTGTGTCTAAGGATTAGTTTGATGAATTGGAGGGATTCGAGGTCTCGCCTCACCCAGCCTACAGTCTAGATGTTGCGCCGTCGGAATATGGGCCAATTCCGCTTCAAGAAAGCTTTTCAAGCGTGGACGTCGGTTTGATACATTTGTTAAGTTGAAGAGTCTTGTCAGGTGTTTTTGATTCAAAGCTCAAGGAATGGCGATTTCGAGCATATCCGGAATCTTGCAGATCGTTGGCAGGAGATCGTGAATAAATGATGGTCTTAATTTTGAAGAGTAATTGTTGCAATTTTTCATCGAATTTATGAATAAACTTTGAATTTGCAGCGGGCATTATGGAAGTTTTTCGTTAACCTAGGAAATCCCATTACTTAATCTCATTATCGTTCTTAGGTTGTTTAGGACTGGGCAGTGGACTGTGCAGTTTTGACGTTTGCTAAGGAACGGCCATGTGGGATATACAAGCAAGACTATTTGGTAGATCTTTTTGAGCGTTATGGCGATGCTGATGACTGTCTAGAGGTTCGGTTTTCTCTAGTTCTTCGACTGCATGGATCGGGCTCTGATTCAGCCTGTTCGGGACGAAGCCTTTTCGCTTCCCCCTTAGCCCAAAAATAATCAATCGGTAGCTCAAATCTAGTCGATCACGGTACCTTACATGAGTTTGAAGACGCCTTTGTAGTTGCCTAGTGGCAGTTGAAAATAAATTACGTTTCAATTTCAGCGCGCATTTTTTGCTCGACTAGGGTTTGTCGATAGCTTCTCGGAAGAGTTTCAGCACTTATTGAATAGCTTGAGCAGCGCTGAGTCTGAAATTGGACGAGGTTTTTGACCGAAAAAGATGAAACATCCCCCTTTTGAAACGGAGGCGAAACTCCTAAGTAAATAGTGAAAATAGCGACTTTTTTAGGCGCTAATGAAATCGTTGTTCGCAGCGCGGTTTGGAATAAGAGCAGTTTTTCGTTTTTTGTTTAGAAATTTTTCTGCGCTATGAAAAAAATTCTAAGTATCACGTATCAGAATTGTAGAAGAAACTTTATGCTATCGTTCCATGGATTCTAGCCTTTATTTTATTTTCATATCGCGGTTCTGAGTTATGAGGAACTCGCTATGAAGTTTAAGCGACTCGAAGCGCTTTTTGAGGACCTCAACAAACAATTTCAGCATCAGAATTATCGCGACCTGAGTTGTCGAATGACTGCTGCAATTCTAGAAAAGCCACCTAAGAGCATTTGCTTACCGACAAAACCAGTACAGTGTGAGAAAGAGTTTTGTTTTCGCTACCACAACGCACTGTGGAAATTTCTTGGAAGTCAAACGCAGCAATGAAATCCCTAAGAGCCAGACTTACTAATGCTCACTAAGAGGTGAGAGTCCAACCAAGAAATCCGTTCGATAAGTCGTGTATCAGTATTGGTACAGGAGTTCCGAACGTGTCAAATTACCACCATGAAGCAGTTTATGAGCAAAGATGCTCTCTTTCGTCAATTTCAATAATTAGAGGTGATTTTTTCTAATCTTTAGGCTCCTAGTAAACCGTCTTGGGAATACGGTGATGCCGTTGGATTCGACGACACTACAGAGGCTTCCACAAGTGTATCTCATGAAGATGCCGAAGCAGAGAATGAAACAGGTTAGGGTGGTTTACACAAAAGTTTCAACGAAAAAGTATTGACAGGAAGTCTTCATGAGTTTTAGAGGAAATTGCAGCTAGCATTTTCATGCTTTGGAACTTCGTTTCTTAATCTATATGGGTTATGAAAACTTACAAAGTGCGTAAAATGCGCACACATGTTCTATGGTTTGCTGCAGCGCTCAAGACTCGCCAAAACCTTCCATCCCTCTTGAGTTGGTGAATTCATATCAAACTGGTTTAGAAGGAAAGCTGCACGATTTGATACATCGGTAAGCCTCTCCCAAAGAGTTGAAAGGTCATGTATCCAATCAAATACCCTTCAACAATTCTGGGACCATGGACCTACGGCCTCGGCATTTTGAACTGGGAACGCTGGATGGTCTGCGCCACTGCCTCTGCATCGTGGGATTTACTGTCTGCCCCACTCCTCTCTGACACTAAACACTTCCACCAGGAAGGTTGCTGGTTCGAACCCCTACCACGACGCTTCACTGTAGTTTATTGGTGTCTTTTTGTATTCACTACAATATACTCGAATCACTAAGAGATCATATCTCATATTATTCATTCTAAACCTAATTCAGTCAGAAACTATCAAATTGTCATTGTGAGCGAAAAAAGTTGGATATGCGTTGTCACCCTGTGGATTCTCGTTTCTATCGAAAAGTATTGAAACGTTAGACAACTGAGCGCGGTGTTTACTATGATAAGTACGTTATAGGAGGACCTTCAATACTAATCGACATCAAAAAAATAACCCCAAAAACTACAGTGAAGCGTCGTGATAGGGTGCCAACCTGTAACTTTCTTTCCAATGGGCCGGTTACTGAGTGGTGGAGAACTTGTGGATCCAGAGATGTAGGGGAGGTAGAGCAGACCCTCGAGCGCTGCCAACTGGAGATACAAAGGCCGGAGGTCTATGATGGCAAAAGGTTCAGCCATACTTGATGTAGTCGAGTACATGACGCATTTCTGAGGGCTTGGTCAACGCCGAGAGCTTTATCCTCTATTCGTTTTATCGAGTAGACCTATTCTTTTCTGTAGTAACTTTATTCCTTTTCAATAAACAATTTGTGTATCATAGGATGACTTTAGGCAAAAACTCCTGGGAAAAAGTTCATGGACGGTCTGGTAAAAGGTGCGGTTCTCGTCACGGACTCTCTGAAGAAGAAGATGCTTCAAGGCAAGGTAACATTGTTTCGTTTCCTAGTTCAGCTTTCTAGTAACTGCAGCACACTGTGTAGATTAGAGAGTTGTGTGGCGCAAAGAGGGATGGATTTCCTGGACTGCAACCTGTTTCGTTGGAAAGATTCTCGTGATAACGACAATTTAAAATTGCTCGCACAGCGGCCATATATGGTCTCCTGGAAAGCGGACGGAATGAGGTTGATGAGCTTTCAAAGATATTATTTTGATTATCTATAAGGATCCTTTATTTCAGTGCTCTTTAGCTATGTTGTAATATTATAAATGATATCCCAGAACTCTGAATTATATACAAAATCTCCGACCCCACGCGGAATTTGAACCCTGACGAATTTCACCTATAGCGGGCCACGCGCTACGGACTATACCGCTGAGGCCACCGCATCGCTGCTACTCATACTTCGATATGAACTATCGGAGGTGTTCGTCTATTAAAACCAACAAGTTTGTCCTATTAAGTATGAGTAGTAGCAAAGCGGTGGCCTCTGTGGTGTAGTGGTTGCACGCGCCCCGCTATGGGAGAAACGTGTCAGGTTCAACTCTCGCCCAAACGTCAAAACTTTAGATCACTCGAAATTTTTACCTATATAACTTAGAGAATTGAGGAATGAGTGGTCGGGCAAGTGTGCCTCGGTGGTGTAGTGGTTAGAGCACGCTTCCCGGATAGGATGAAAACGCCGGTTTGATTCCCTCCTGAGGCCGTGTCTTTGCTCACCACTCAATCTCTAAGTTATATAGGTAACATCATAGCACTGCGAAATAAGCAGTAGAAATACTATAATTTCAAAAATTCTTAGATGTATGATGTTTGGATGTCGTTTGTCTCCTGGTTCGTGCTCTTCCATAATTTTCCTATGGATAGGCGATATCCTATCCACACTTTCATTCCTTCATTAATTCTCTAGAGACGGTAGTTGGTCGATCGCATAGCGCAATTCGTAAAAGACACGCGCTTTTCGTTATTTAAGTGGATTTTTCCCCCATTTGGGAAGTAAAACTTTAGGTTCTTTGTTCTTTTTTTTTTTCTGAATTCCATGATTTACTTGACATGGTCATATGTTTTCCATGCATATGTATTTTTTTTTTTTGTACGTTGGAAATTTTCAGTGCGAAACATAATCTTCTATTTGCTCTTACAACGTTCTTTGGTAACTTTTCAAAAAACCAATTACGACATCGAAATTTCAATAGATCCTTTCATTATTATTTGAGCCAACATGTCATGTGGTCTGGTAAGGGCTCTTGTCCAGCCCGATACACGTGTTTCGTACTTACAGACTCGTTAGCCCTAAGATGTAAAAGTCAAATTGTCAAGTGAAATTCACCTAAGATGACAAAGAGTGTAAAGCGTGCGTCGTCGATGACTCTCTATAAGGAGTGTAAGGCTCCCAAGAGAACTGACTATAAAAAGATCGAACGACGACGTGTTATGCCCGGCTGACGAGTCTGTAAGGACTTAGAGTTGTTTAGAAAGTCCCGTTTTAACAATTAGGTCAGGTTCCCCACCACAGTTTCCTTTTTAGAGGTCTTTTGCTGTCTAAAAAGGCGTTTTCCTGAGTTTTCGTGAGCACTTTTTAACGATATTCTTTGGTAATTACCGCAGCCAGCTCTTCTGGATCGAATCAAGACTTTCGATCTTTTCATAGTCAGTTCTCTCGGGAGCCTCACACTCCTTATAGTCTGTAAGGACGGAACACGTGTATCGGGCTGTACAGGAGCCTTTAGCAGACCACATGACATGTTGGCTCAAATAATGATGAAAGGATCTATCGAAATTTTGAGGGTGTTCTAAACAAAGCACTCGAAATAAAGGTATAACATCGAAATTCTCAAGATTTAGGCTATGGAATAACTAGTAAGAGTTTGACGAAGTTATACACAAGCTCTAGCCGAAGCAAATAAAGCAGACTAAGTGTGGAAACATCATTTATTTCCGCTGCTACGATTTAATATGTAAACCCTTTTGAAAAGTCAAGCATATTGTCGAGATTGGAGAGATTTAAAACTTGCGAATGATCGCTAAGTGTCTCAAGGTAAAGTTGGTTCATTCTGATTGTAATGGGACAAATGAAAACCGATATCATTCACGAGGAGGAACTTTTCATAAGTTTGTTAGTTAATCATTCGAAAGCTGGGACTTCAGGCTACAGTTACAGCCCGCTTTTCCAAAAAGACTTTTTTTGACGTCGCTACATGACGAGATTTCTTGGCTTCAAACACGTATATTTCTCACCGAATAGAGCTTTCTCAGGACTGCTAGTAATCATTCGATGGCTTAATCGTTTCTGATATCAGCGCTATGTTTATATCCTGAATAGACTGTTTCTCTGAAAAGCGGCAGGTAAACTAAGTTGAATTCCCATCTGCGACCAATGACCTCATTAGCCATCCCACGTGCTGTTGGATGAGGCAGCCATGTTCGATGACGCGATCACCATCGATTTTCTAGGCTTATGAACGCGTAGAGAGTATCGCGTCAGCAGTTCACGTGGCCGCCTCATACACCCGCACATGAATTGGCCAAAGTGGTCCTTGATTGCAGATGGAAATTCAACTTGTTTTACCTGCTGCGTTTTAGAGAAACGGGCTTTTCAGGATATAGGCATAGCGCCCAAATAAATTTCGATTACGCTATCGAATGAGTAGTAATAGTCCAAAGAAAGATCTCTGTCAGGCGAGAAATGTGCGCGTCTGAGGATACTTTGTGTGGAAAGCGCAGCGTTACTTAAGGGTGATTAGAAAAACCGGCGGCGTGTGGCTGTAGCCTGAAGTCTCAGCCTTCGAATGTCCACTAACACTCCTATGAGAATTTTCTTTCTAGCGATTGAGATCGGTTTTCATCTGTCCCCTTATAATCAGAAAGAACCGGAAAGTTTTATCCAGTGAAAAAGACCTTCAAGAAAGTGGACCCCAGCTTGTACAAGTCGTTTTCAAGGATTAAAGTTTCAACTTGAAAGAGAATGATAGATTTCAGGTATATGGTCTATATTTGTGACGAGAATGAAGTGTACGCTTTCGATCGAGATAACGAAGTGAGTGAGTAGGAGGGTTTATTTTCTCCGAAACATGCTTTTATTCTTCTTCATGGCTTTTTCTTCATCCAAGAAAATTACTGACTTCAGGTGTTTCTTATCGAAGGACTATCATTTCCTCATAGAAAGCACCAAGGCATATTGTGAACACGCTAGTGGACGCAGAGATGATAATCGACCATGTTAGTTTTCCTTTTATTTTTTACATCATGAAATGTAAATCATCCTTGGCATCTATCATGTCTCGTATTCTTTTTTAAAGGTTAAAGACGAGCATGGGAACACAGTGGATCTACCCAGACTTCTCATATATGATATTGTTCACTTTGAGGTTGTGTTTTATTCTGTAATTTCAAGCGACTGTGATCATAATAAGCAAACCTTTTCAGGACGTCCATGTGGGAAAAGACAATTTCGATATCAGGTTCATGTGCATACGAAAGGAGCTTATAGAGCCTAGAAATGCTGCAATTAAGGTATTGGAAGTGATCCATTCTTTATAATTACACTTTGAACTGTGCTTTTATAAATCCTGACTGTCACATGGAGACGCTTCTGGCACAGTAGTAGAGGTGCTGAGCGACACACACTTGGTCCATGGTCCGATCCAGCGCTCAACGCTCACCGAGCTTTCTATTCACCGCGAGTCAGCAAGTCGCTAACACGCTTTCTTAGAGGGATAGCGGCGCTGACTTGACACATTTGATAGCCCACTGCAAGTCCATGTAAATGCATTCAATCACCTCTAACGATGCTACGAGTAGGGTCGAATGCATAAGCGCATCTCTCAGGGATTAGTCGACGCCGTGTGCTTTATGCTTTCTCAGCCTTGCTATAAATTGTGCTGAAGCTCTGTGGAAGCTCATTTACACTATCTAGGCAGGCCGAATTCGGAAGGAACGCGAACCAATGTCTGTGCGTGTAAAGGACTTTTGGGAATTGGAAGCCCTACCGAAACTCTTCGAGCCAAAGTTCACTAAAAACGTCGGCCATGAGATCGATGGTCTTATTCTTCAGCCAGTTGACGCTGTAGGTTATGCTCAAACACATGTACATGAGGTTGAAGCATTGGTCTCAATATCACTGAATCGGTTCACTATCTCAGCCGTACACTCCTGGGCGTTGCGATATAGTGCTGAAATGGAAGCCGCCTTCACATAACTCGATCGACTTCAAGTTACAGATCAGAAAGTACGTGATTACATGTTCATTCGTGAAATTTATTCAGTTTTTCTCGTCTTTTTGTAGCTATCTTTTTTTTTTGCTTGGTATATCCTGATCTAAAGCTTCACGAGTTGGTATCTTTTTCCAATTGATTGTTCTTTCTTTCCGGTCGGTGAGTTTTCGCGGTTGCTTGTGGTTGACGTTTCGACAAATACGCCTCCTTCAGAGCCTGAACGTATTATTTGTTGTAGCTTTAATTATATGACTAAAAAATCCATCGACGGGAAAGAAGAACAGTCGATTGGGAAAAAGATACCAACTTCGTGAGGCTCTAGATAAAGATTAGTTTTCTAAGCTTTTCTTCTCATTTTCAAAGATCTATCTAATATTTTCATGCTGAAAATGTGATTTTACTGAGTCGTTCCATAAGTTTTGGCACTAAGGCAATAAGCACCAAATTTATTAACTAGAAGTAATTAAAATGGCATGATTTTCGTATCGTTCATTGGTGCACTTTCTTGTGAATATTTAGGTGTACAACTTGCCTATACGTTCCTTTTCGAGTGTTCTTGAGACCTTGCTCAAAACAATATAATCTGATTACATATTTTGAGCTTTTTATGAGGTCTTTTGTTCACTTGTGCAGTGAAAGACACGTGTTCCGGCATTACAGCCTCGCCATTTGCGAGCTACCTTTTGGTTCAGTCAGTCCCGTCTAGAGATCTACCCTACCTAGGGATTTCGAAGCCGAAGTACTTACACGCGCCGTTAAGTGAATAGACCACCCAACAGGCAGTGTTGCACACTCGATTGCTTGTGGCTGGTGAGACATGAAAGGCTCAAAATATGTTATCAGGTTATATTGTTTTGAGCGAGGTCTCGAAAACACTTGAAAGAAAGGCATAGGCAAGTCATTTAGCAAAATGTTCACAAGAAAACGCGCACCTAAAACGCTACCAAAATCATGCAATTTTAGTTCTAGTTAATCAATTTGGTATTTATTGTTTCTGGTACCAAAACTTCTGGAAAGACCTATAATCATACTCGTTTTCTTATTTTTTGATTGACCCACGACTTACTGATATTGACCATCCGATGATTTTCTGTCATCTTCATATATGTCTATTCTAAACTCGCGTCAGAAGGTCGCGGATGATTTAGCTCCGAAAGTAACATCATAGACCTGGAAACTGCCGAATGACCGTTCTATGGTTTGAGTGATGTGCAAAATATTCGGCCCGAGGCGGAGTTGAAAATCTGCGTTTGACCATGCTGGGGTGAGGGTGGTTGCCACTGCAACACCGATACCACTGCTTTGTTAGCACTCTATCTTCGATATAAGCAATCGGGACTGTCAGCAGCAAATCTTCAATCGGTTTGGTTTGGTAACCAACATTGGCATTGAACCCAGTCAAGCTCACATCTTCTGTACATTTATAATCTGGATATTATAAAGTGCTGGAGGTGGCTTTGGTGGTTAGTGGTAGCATGAGCCACTGGTTTGG